CGGATCGGATCGACTGTGCCAGGTTTGAACTTCGGCTCGCTACGACTCCGAGCAATGGGTCACAGAGAACGTGAGCTTCGTCAGGATTTCTTGCCCACATAACGGGCGAAGTTGGGCCGATGGAAGGCTGAGCCCTGTGACTCAAGAGGCCTAGGCCAACTCCCCTCAGGGTTCAAGGGGGAGCAGCAAGTTGCGGTCGCATGTGCAGGCAAATCCATTCAACATGTCAAACCATTTAGCCGTCGAACTATCGAACCGTTGAACCATGAAAGCATGGAGTCGTGAAACCAACGAAGTAAATCGCCGATGAACGGGCGGACCGAGTCTGCCGAACAACACTCTTGTCAGACTAATGCATTGACGATCAGAGCATCAAAACTTCGAAACATCCACCCACGCACCCACCAAAATGAAGGTCAGGGACCCTGGCATTCGGGCCATCCGTTCAACCAATCAACCCATGCAGCCAGCCAGCTAACAAGAACACCACAACAACCAAAAACAATCTGAACCAAACAAAAAACAAAACCGAACCCAGCAATGTGCATAGACTCACCTTGCCAATGCAACTCCATCACTCGGATATCGTCCTTGTTTACGTCATAGATGGCAAAGGCGAACCTCAGCTTGTGCTCCTGGCAGAGTTGGCCTAATCTGGGCCACCCTTTGAAGGAACCCGACCTGCAACTCCAACAAGGTGTGTCTTGTGCGGAAAACCCTGGAAAGACCCAAAGAAAAAATATCCAAGCCCCCCTCAGCTTTTGCCCCCAGCTCCAAAAAAAGACACCGTTTTTGGTTCGACTCGCCCAAGAGCCCAACCAGACATCGAAGCGAGCTTTGTGGCCTCGGAGGTGCCGCCGGCCAGCTTCGCGAGGCCCAGTAAGAACTCGATGAAGGACACCGTCCCGTTGCCGTCCTGACGAGTCGAGTTTCTCGTTCCCCGCCTGGGACGAGCCCCGGGACGAGCCCGGGAAGTGGGCTGGGACGTGACGTGCAAAAACTTGAAGGTCGTGCAAAAAAGCCAAAGACGTGGCCCATCCGTTTGTGGGAAGTCCTTGGTAACAAAACGAAAGCCTAAACTGCACCCCAGCGCTGTCCAAAACCAAGCTGGCTTGACCCCAGCAGCTCTGAATCCAGCCCTGAATCCAACCGCGCTCAGCCGTACGTTGCGCTTTGGGGACAGAAGCAGCCCTGTGGCACAACCCTCTGGCAACTTCCCTCTGATCCTTCTCAGAATCCCGAAAGGAGAGTCACGTGAGGAACCAAAGTTGAGTTGTTTCTCCGCATGTTCACAAATCCCATTGCCACCCCCCAACCCCGGCGCCTTGTCAAAGACTGATATGACTCTTTGTACCAACGGATTTTCAGCCAGTTCCGCCACCTCAGCACTGCATATCAGTTCAGATCAGACTTTGCACTGCAGGGCAGTGCAAAGTAGATGGATCATTTCCAAGTCACAACAACATGCAACTACCCAAAGCTGGAAAACAAGCGGAAAAGACATACACCTCACTTTGCAGCAGCTTTCTTCAGCAAAAAGTCGAACTTCTCAAACTGTCTTGCGTGCTAGTTGGAAACCATCATTTTCCAAACAAATCTCTAAAACTTTTCAGTGGTTCGGGTCCCCGGTCGTGTCAGTTCTGAGGCATCAGCTCCTAGGATCTCGTTCGGATCCAGCTGGCCATCCCCGTCCTCGTTTTCAGTCGCTGGCTTTTTGTGTATCCTTAAGGCATGTCCAGATTGAAAAATATCTGACGTGTGGAGGGAAGCAGTTGAAAGAATTGTTTGTAGTTTTCAAATGTAGCTTTCACTTGCGAAACTCAGGGAATGCTCTCCTATCTGAAGCCAGAAGTGCATCACCCCTGTGTGCTGCGTGCCGCGAGCTCATGTTTCTGGGATCAAAGCGAGGTTTGGCCATCTGGCTTGCGCACTGCAGCTTCAACGGGATCCCGAAAGGTCCTTTGCGTTGGCCCTTTCGGGGAAAAAAAAAAAAAAAAAAAAACGGCCCGGCCGCCCTACGCCTCCAAACTCCAAACGCCCGCGCGATTCCCCCACCCCGCCCGCTAAGAGTCCTCATCCAGTCTTCGAAAGCGGTGATAGAGGCGGGTCACGTCCTGGCCAAAAACATGCGGAGGGATGCAGATCCAAAGGGTTCGCCACGACAAGCCTCTTGCGCTTGACCCAACGAAGAGCCCGGGGAGCGAGTTGCCCTCATGAGTTCTCAAATAGGAAATGGAACCCAAAAGGTTGATGTGCTGTTGGTCTCTCTTGAAAACACCATCCCCAGGCGGGCGCCAATGTCGAAATAAGATCCGTTTCGAGAAACTGGTGAGACTGGCTCTCTCCGACCGCTTGAAGCAAAGATGTGTCTCCTTGCACAGGCCAGGAACAATACAAACAAATAACAAAACTCAGCAAGAAAGCAAGCAAGCACACACGCAAGCATGCAAGCAATCAAACAAGCTAGCAAACAAAAAAAGGAAAGCATGCAAACATCAACCAACCAACCAACCAACCAGACAGACAGACAGACAGACAGACAGCCAGACAGACAGACAGGCAGCCAGACAGACAGACAGCCAGCCAGCCAGGCAGGCAGGCAAGCAGGCAGGCAAACAAACAACTAACAAACAATCAAGCAAACAAAAAGCCAGACAAACAAACATAGCAAGCAAGCAAGCAAGCAAGCAAGCAAGCAAGCAAGCAAGCAAGCAAGCAAGCAAGCAAGCAAGCAAGCAAGCAGGAAGCAAGGAAGCAAGCAAGCAAGGAAGCAAGGAAGCAAGGAAGCAAGGAAGCAAGGAAGCAAGGAAGCAAGGAAGCAAGGAAGCAAGGAAGCAAGGAAGCAAGGAAGCAAGGAAGCAAGGAAGCAAGGAAGCAAGGAAGCAAGGAAGCAAGGAAGCAAGGAAGCAAGGCAAGCAATGCAAGCAAGCAAGCAAGCAAGCAAGCAAGCAAGCAAGCAAGCAAGCAAGCAAGCAAGCAAGCAAGCAAGCAAGCAAGCAAGCAAGCAAGCAAGCAAGCAAGCAAGCAAGCAAGCAAGCAAGCAAGCAAGCAAGCAAGCAAGCAAGCAAGCAAGCAAGTAATGGGGCAAGCAAGCAAGCAAACAAAAAAACAAACAAACAAATCAACACACGCAAGCAGCTTCAAGGACGACCCAAATCTCCGGCCTTTTCTTTGGCCAGGCTTTGTGAGTGGCTTGAGCGCAAGCTTGCGCGACGCGCGCCTTCTGGCTGAAGTTGGCAATGAAGTGGATCTCTTCCCGGGTCAAGCCTTGAGCGGATTTGGTGTCACTGCCGTAGATCTTTGTTGAGCACCCTTTGGTGGACATCATCCATGTAGGGATATATGTCCATCAACAATGTATCAGTGTGTTGCAGAATCGTCCAAAAGCACACCTCTTCAAAGGGCAAGAAAGTCCAAATAGTAGCCGCTCCCCGGTTTGGTGCCTATAGGGTAGCCATTAGACAAGAAAACAAGGACCCTGGGTCCAGTCAAGCCCGCAGCATCAAGCAGGCGAGCAACACTTTACGAGAAAAGGCTAAGGCTAGCGTGCCACAGAATCCATGCCCCGCGATTCCAGCCACTGAGGAGAATAATCCTGGGGCCACACTGGACATGCCATGGATCTGGGATCTTCGAGACTCCCGGCTTGCCGGCTCAGCTGCCCCGTGAATCCAAAAAATCCCTCCCCCTTTGGTTTGTCATCCGAAAGTGCGGCGAACCATGGCGGCATATGGCCATGGGTCAAAACCCAAATCCTACCCCCAGTGAACCTCCGATTCAATCCCCACCAAAATCGGCTCTAAAATCAGTGCACCGAATTCTCCCAACATGGGATCCCAAAACGGCTTTGACCACCGCCATATATTTGCTTCCCATATCGACGTCGATCCGAGGCCCGCACTCTCCGAGTTCCCCATGGCTCCAAAACGGCCCGGCTCGGTGTCAGGGCCTACTTCCTCTCTGATTGAGCCGAGCGGCCGGATCCATGCGGCGCACGAGCTGCTTTGAACGCAGCTGGGCAAGGGGAAAAGGTCACAAGGAGCCCACAAAGGGGCGAACCAACCACCCTCCCATCCATGAATCCTCAGAGGGTTCGCAGCACGGATCGCCTTCCTGGGCTCTGGCAGGGGCCATGAACGTGCACGCAAGGGACTGAGGCAACCAAGACTCACTCGGCCCATTGCCACTTCAGCTGATTCCAAGCTTGTGGCACGATTTCGGACCGTTGGCCTAGAAACAACTCCATGCCCAACAAAATCAAAAGCGGCCCAAGGGAACTTGATTTCAAGGGAAGCCAACCATTTGCGCAGGGTCCCCTATTTCAGGAACACTCATATCACAAAATCCCACTGCGAGAAGCTCTTCAAACAGCTCCACAGCACCAAGCAATCGTTGAGTGCCTTATAGAAAGTAAGGACAACAGCAACTGGTTTTGGAACTTACCCCTGTCTTTGCGTGTGCATTCTTTTCAGACACTTTGCATTTCAGTTGCCAGCGGCTGATCATCACTTGTCTTGACCCCCGCATGGCAGTCTCCAATCCACAGGCGAAACCTCAGCCGTGGCCCTTGTCTAACTCTGGCAATGGCCCCAGCTGTGCCGAATAAGTGCAGCAATCCAAGAGACAATCTCCGCATGCTGGCTTACATATTTCGAATCTTTGTAATGACAAGGTTCTGGCATGCCCCTAACTGGCCAAATGCAGGAAGGTTGCAGCTTAACTGATCAGTGGCCAAAAGCAACGCGCCAGCATCGGGTCAAAGCACGTTGGTGAACTACGAGACTGGGGTCCCTCTTCCAAATCACTGCAAAATGGTGAGAAGGTCAAGGCCAAAGGGATACCAAAGCCACGTTCATCAAAACAAAGCCGGGCACTGCCAGCCCTGCAAAACAAAACAAACTGCCGCCATCTGGAAAGAACTGGTCCTCACACCTTGTTCAATAGCAAACGATCCGGCCCTCCATCAACCCGTCACCCACCCCGCGTTTTTGCGGACCTGCCTGCCCGGAGTGCATGAACTTCAAGGATTTCAAGAGCTGGTAGATTATGTACCTAAAGGCTCTTGAGGTCTTCAGGCTTCCCAACATGTTCAAGCATACCCCAACGAAAGAAAACAACCAAACCTTGTTGTCAACCACTCCCTGCAAACCCTTGAGAAAAAGCAGTGGCAGGTCAGTTCTGGCACGACCCCTGCTGACCTGGACCATGCATAAAAAAGAACGATGGATCAGCGTGGCTCATAAGCCGCGGAGCACGTCACTACGAAAATACACGTTTAACTGAAAAGCCACACATGGGTGTGAAACAGGGCAGATTGAATCCTCAGACGCAAAGAAAGAAAGAAAGAAGGGAAAAACAAAACAAACAACAAAAGAAAGAAAATAGGAAAGGAAGAAAGGAAGAAAAGAAGGGAAGAAGAAAAAAGAAAAAAAGAAAGAAAGACAGACAGACAGACAGACAGAAAGAAAGAAAGAAAGAAAGAAAGAAAGAAGAAACAAAACAAAGAAAACAAAGAAGAACAAATAGAGAAAAAGGAAGAAAGAAAAGAGAAATGAAAGATGAAAGACAAACAAAGGAAGAACGGCGGAAAAGAAAAAAATAAAGAAGAAAAAAAGAAAGAACGAAAGAACGAAGGAAAGTCGAACCAGACAAACAAACAAACAAACAAACAAACAAACAAACAAACAAACAAACAAACAAACAAGGCAAGCAAGTAAATAAGCAAACAAGCAAGCAAGCAAGCAAGCAAGCAAGCAAGCAAGCAAGCAAGCAAGCAAGCAAACACATGTGTATCTGCACATGGATGTGTGCATATTATACATCAACACTGATGCATATGCACGTACATACACATATACATGTGATTTTACATGCACTTACACTTGTAGGTAGACTCATGTACACGCATGTGCCAGCCAGCCAAACAAAAGAGACACATTATTTTCAATACCTGACCCCACGCACCAAAAACATCTGGCACATACCAGTGGCAAGCAAACAACAAATGCTACTAAGGCTGAAAAAGGCCGCAATGAGTGGAAGGGTTCGTTCGGGAGTGAATACAAGTGGCAACGAAGCGGTCGTCAAAACTAAGTACCAACCCACCTCCAAATTGGTAAAGATTTCATGCCAGTTTCTTCCAAACCAGAACAGGAGGGTCTAAGTTTGGTGTTGATTTGGGGCTAGCTTCGCTTTGGGGTAGGTGTGGGGTGGGCTTGTGGGTGGTTTTAGGGTCCGACTTGCTATTAACGTTCCATTCGGTTGGCACATCGCTGGCAGCCGGGTCCCCGGCTGCTTGTGGATCTCTTCCAAAATGTTTGCGCGGATCACCGCATGCAGGTCCGACTCCATGTAGTCGCAGATCAAATAGATGTCCTCACCATCTGGAAAATGAGCAAAACGCCGAAACGTGGAAAAAGAAACACAAGCAAGGTGGGCGTTTGGCAAGTGGCTAACATCTCTCGAATCTGCCTGCGACTTGGGCTGGGCTAAAATGGAAAGACATCATGCGAGTATGGCCTGCGCACCAAAGGACTGGATTTGATTTCACAAGATTCCTGGTTGCCACAATCACCAGATTAAAAAATGCACCGGAGAAAATGAAAGGTCTTCCTCCGCCATTTGATCGCCCCAGTCGCCAAATCCAACTCTGTAGGTCCTGCCCACAACGAGAACCACTGCTGCTGATGCGGAACGCAAATGCCTACCCTCCTCAGCTTCTTGCAAGCCCTAAACAGGAACATCTGCCCTCAAAAGGCCTCGTGCCTCACTGACTGACTCACTCACTGACCGAATAATTGACTGACTCACTGATTGACTGATTGACTGATGGACTGATGGACTAATGGACTAATGGACTAATGGACTGATGGACTGATTGACTGATGCACAGACGGACTGGGCGATCGACGGAGAAACTGATTGAGTAATTGGATGCTAAGGTCATCCGCCCTGTATAAAAACCCGCCCCCGCCCCCCCTCCCCGCTTTCCGATTCCGCTTTCCCACTTGGCCTGGTCGTTGTCGGCCTTGAGCACGTTCAAGAGCCGCACAATGTTCTCATGGCCGTTCAGCTCCTCGAATCAGGATGGCCGGGGCCGTTGCACCAACGTGGCCATCGAGATGAAAGAAACACCTGGCTGTGGCTCAAAATCAAACAGCTGGGGTTGCGCGGGTTTTAGTCTACCTGTCCATTTACCAGGGTTCCCTTTGAAACCCCCATTTTTGAGCCTCACCCGTTGGCTTTGAAAGACTCACGAGACCCGCTCTGGCGCGCGGACTTTGGCAGTTTCGTTCACGCTTGCGAACTGCCAGCATCTGAGCCCTCCGCTTTGGGTCTAGCGACTGAAGGGGAAAAATGGAGTGAGACATCCGCCCCAAACACACACTCCGTACATCCAAGCGCCTATCCAAAAGCACCAAGTGATCCTAATCTTCTGGCCCCATTTGACTTTGAGGATTCCACGAGGATCCTGGTCATCCTTCCCCTTCATTCATCGAATGTAGCTGCCGGTCCTGCCTGGCTTCTTGCAGCCAGCTCTGTTCAACGTTACCCGCTGGCCCTGAACACTCGAAGGCTCTTTTGTATCAAACCCTGGTCAAACCAATTCCAAGCGCCAAGCACCGCCTGAACAGCCCACATCGGACAGCTCCCAAAAGGCGAGTCAGTCTCCCATCCACCGCCCCTGTCTTTCTCTTCCCGTCCTGCAGGAACATGATCTCTCGGAAGGTCCTCTGGGCGTCGGTGGCGTTCTGAAAAGCGTCGAAGCACTTCTTCAGTGCCACCACCTGCGGGGAAGCGGGCCCCCGGCACCCTGGCCTAACACGACCCAAACCCGGACACTTTATGTTTGGTCGTGCGACGCCCGGCCAAGACATGGGCACTTCTTGGTCAACTTTTGAGGGCGCCATGGCTGCTGAACGCCTTCGGCTTCCTTTAGTCAACAGGTGTCCTTGTTTGTGGCTGTCTGGATAGACTCATTGCTGTTCCTGTATAAGACAAGACGTGAAAATATACCCAAACCTGGTTATGACATTTGCTTGCTTCGTCAGTTTCTCACAGCTTGACCCACTTTGGCCACAGGAATCCTTCCAAAGGGCGATGCCGCCCCAGAAGACTAAACCTTCTCTCCCACCACCTGATTCAACCAAGACGTGACGATGCAAATGAAGTACGCAAAACGATGTAAAAAAATCACAACAGGCCGGCTCTATTTTTGGTGAGCAATGACTTTCTGCTGACCTCCCATGTTCCAACAGCAAACGGCTCAAACGGCCACCCAGAAATGTGCCAAGGCCAGGGACCCTGCTGAAAGCTTGGTTTCACGCTGGTTTCCTTCACAACTCATCCCCGAAAGCTGTCGTTAGTTGAGCACCCAACTCGAATCGACCAACAAACGGCCCCATCGGCCAAGGGCAGCCCCGCCTCACGCGTCTTCTTGTCAATGGCTTTCCACACGATGCCATAGGCTCCTCGGCCCAGCTTCTGGACGATCTCATACCTGTGGTCATGTCAGTCAGGATTGAAAACAAAAAACAAACAAGGGCTACGAACCGCACAGTGCCATCAAGGAAATCCACCAGAACAATGATCATTCCGAGAATCCCACAAGCCCCGTCAAGACAAAGGTTCTGCACCGCTCGGCATGCTGTTTCTTGCAATTGACCTTCAACAGCATCATCCCGCCTGGAGAATCAGTCGAAATACCGACTCAAAGGTGACAAACCTTTGGCCACTCTCAAGCCAGAGTTCCATATTGACCCCAGATACCAACCAATCAATCCACCGACTGAGTCCCACGGCCCAATTCAAACCCTGGCGCACTTCCTGAGCACGTGCCTGTCGATTTCTTCACTCATGGCCCTGGGCGTGCACCCGCGTGGACGGTGCAGAGGGCTGAAGGAAGAGAACCGGAAGCCACAACTCCGCGTTTGTTTCGGGTTGGTCTAAAGCAAAACCAAAATCAAAGCCCTTTTTGAGGGTCCACATCCTTGTTTTGACGCATACCTGCAAAAGCGTGAGATGGGAGAAATCCAAAGGAAGTGAGCACCCCAAAGCCAGCAGCTTTTGAAGCATGAAGAAAAGGAAACGTGAGCAAGTGTTCCAAAAAGAGAAACAACTAAATTCAGCAGATCCCTGATTTTCTGGGAAAGGACGTCAGACATAGAGAGTGCCGAGCAGTGAACCGCACAGCTCGGCATCCTGTTGCTCCCCACATGATCACAGCTCGGTTGCTCTTTGCTCCCCTGCTAAAAGTTTAACTGTTGGTGGTTTAATGGAAAACCCATTAGTTGGCAAAAAGTTGAAGTCCTAACATCCCAGCAAAATGCAACAAAGACAGCACTCTGGTTCTGCCACCCATTCCTTGCTTGATTGCCGCATTGTTCCCGTGCCCCGCCTTCGCGACCGTTTCGCGCCGGGGCTATATGCAATGCCAACCTGCCAAAGAACTCACCGGGAGCAGAAACCAAAGTTGCTCCTAGCTGTCCTTTCAAGCCGATCGTGCAAGGTTTTCCCCTCCAAAAAACTCTCTGTGCAAGTTGATCTTGGCACACACTTTCCCGATGGCTGGCAAGCTTCGCTTGTGAGAAAATAGAGCATTGCCATCTTTATGATGCAAAGCACAACTACTTCCTACCAAAGCATCCCTTAAAGAGGCCTTTTTGTTTAGCTCGCCGTCGCTTCCCAATCCATGCAACACCCAAAATCCCCTGCAACCCCGAACAACCCGAACTCTGGCCTGGTTCGATCGGCACCCTCCAATCAGCCCGAGCCGTTTGAGCAAAAGCGCGTCCGAAGCAGGAAAACTTAAACGACAACCCGGCAGCCTGGCGGCCTGCAAATGTGCAAATGAAAAACAAGTGCCGGTTCGCATACATTCCTGCAACCTAGACACGGAGCCGCCTCGCATCTTTTTGCGGAGAATGATTAGGCTGTATTAGCTCCAGCCGCTAGACGACATGAAGGATGTAGCACGGGAGAATCTGGTCGGGATTGTCAATCCTCAGTTTCCACAAAAGACTTCAAGAAATGCTCGCGATCTGCGCCGAAAGACTAACGAAACTCGAGCTTGCATGCAAGGTAAGCCAGTGGCAGTGTGGATTTGACGGAGGCTTGGCTGAATTCATTAAAAAGCCCTACATGTCCTAGTCGCTACCATCCCAAGAATACTGTGGATGCGTGGGTTTGCTAATCACGCTTCCGCCCCAACCCCACCCAACCCCGCCACGTCATGACTTGAGCAACAAAAAGCACTGCTATCGTTGAAATCCTCCCACTTTGTAAATCCTGCCCCCCCCCCCCCGGCCGCGCCGTAACGCCTCTACCTCCTTCCACACTCCAACAACACAAAGCAAGCGCTCGGAAACCAAGCCCTTCCTCCAGAAGTCCAAGCTAAAACAAGAAGTTGAATGAGTTTCCCGCGCGCAGCTTACAGCGCGGGAAGCAAAAACGAAAGTTCGCCCCAGGCTCACAAGCTCCTGGCCGTAGCCCTGGTCGTTCGGCTGAAGCCGGTGGCTGTTGTACCCGATCTTCAGCGGCTGGCCGTCCATGCGCTGCTGCACGTCGAAAGCTTTTCCGATGAGGATGCGGCACAGGAGAAGGTTGCCTCGGTGGCAAGACTTCCCATGGCGGCGCGCGTTACACGGCAGGGGAGTTTGCCTATGTTGCTTTGAATATTTGTATATATATATATATACAAATACACATGTACACAAGGTGAACCTGCCCCAGAGACAGGTGTATCATCTGTGTGCACATAAGAAGTTACTGATATGTTATGACAACTGTTTGCTGAGTGTCATCGCTACTTTCACGTGGTTTGCTTGGAGGGGATTCACCTTTTCGTTGCGAAGCTAAATTGATATATATATATATATATACATATATATATATGTATATGTATATATATATACAAATATGTAGAACCATACATATCTATATATATATATACATACATAGACAAAAATACATATATGATCCCCCGTCCCCTGAAGAATGCAACTAACTGGTGTTTGCAGTGTTTTCTACCTTTCTTTGTTTTTGGGTAAAGCATCAAACAATCAGGAAGCTTTATTTAGGTCCGACTGAAATTTCAGTCGAGCCTCAAGATCCACCAATCTTGCACCGACCGAAAATGACCAAACCCAACTCAAATTCAGTCGCTCAAATTCAAAATTCAAGATCCAAGGCTTGCATTGCCTCTATGTGGGGAGATATCCAAAGTGTTTGAAGAATACATTTGATGGCTGACCACCTCCAGAACACTTGAAAGTTTCTGGAAAAGCGAAGGCTCTTTTGGATGCAAGGTCCAACGGGAATCTAGTTCGAGTGCTCCAAATGTTCAAGTTTTCTGGGTTTGGCCTGGGCTCAAGATGCCCAAGAAACTTGTTTGCGCATTCTTGGATCTTGAATCCAGCGCCTTTAAAAAATCAAAATGTTTGGACGTGTGGAGGCCATGCTTGATTGATTCCCTTCTTTCGCGGGAACAATGGCATATACTGCCCGGGCTGACTTTTTTGGAGGAGGGAACAATGATCTGACGATCGCTTTAAGAAAACGCAATTTACTGCACCGTCTGCCAAGGAGAAGACCCATGCTTGTTTGAAACACTTTCCGCTTATTGGTGTCGCTCAGCTCGTGATTTTCTCAGGAAACTAACCTTGTTGAAATTGAGTTTGATTGTGATTTCAACTAGCCATGTCAATAGTTGAATTCTCCATGTGTGTGCTATTGGAAATGCTTATGGACATACAATGATTAAAGTTGAGTTTGGCTCAAACTTGAAACGACATTGTAAATGGGATCTTCTTGCCATATTCGATGCTCCACGACTATCTATGACTCGAAAGAGATACGCAAGCACATAGTTCACACAGGATTTGTGTTCCAGGAGCGATTCCGGACACATGGAAATTATATAGAATGAAGATGGAAGTGCGCAAGGATGCGGAGCACTTTTATGATGAAGTTGGGTCAATGTCAAATAATATGAAATAGTCATGTTGATATGAATAACATCCTTTCCCCAAAAAGATGACTGGCTTGCTGCTTCTACACACAAAACGATAAGAGCAACAAACAAAACGATAACAGAGCTCCACGCACGTTAAGCTTGCCAACGTGTATTTCCAGCGCTCACTATATGTGCGGCAAAGACATGCCAATGCTGAGCTGTTTAAAACATTAAACCTGTTTAACTATGGTGTTTCTCCAGAAGTCTGGAACGTCTGTAAAGCTGATGTAGATGCAGGTTCTTGAGGGGAAATGCCATATGTAGTCATACAGCACACGTGCGCACATGATAATTCGGCGACGCATTATGTGTTTGCAGCGTGTTCCTCGTTTTCGCCCGGAATCGGGGGTTTGGGGCAATGGTTGGCCTTGCCACGACTCGCTCTCCTCTCTCTCCTCTCTCTCACTCTCTGCAAACGAGGCTCTGCCATAACCAGAAGAAACTGCGGGAAATTCCGAGAAGTAAAATCCTCGACCCCAATAGCCGGAGTCTGTCTGCGACCCAATGTGGCTCCTCTGGAAGTTTTGACGGATAATATTCTCAATGTTTTCTCGGATTCGCGTCGCATGAAATGCCAGGATGATGTCATCTGGCACCCTCTCGCGCTTGAACTTCTCCTTTTGCTGCTCAAACCTTCGTATAAGCTCTGGGTTGTTCACATACTCAACTTTTTGCAGGTGGCCACGATGCCCCTGCCGATGCAAATGGGATTCGACAACTCTGAAGTGCATGTCCAGCTCGTTGGACGGGTCAAAGTTGCGAGAGGGCCTCAACTCTTTGACGGTGAGCCTATCATTCACAGAGGTTCGCGCCAAAGGCACCTCCACTGAGACGGACTCGTAGTGGATCACGTACTTGACGAGCACCTGCCGGGGGTCGTACACAATGTACTCGTCGTTCTCCACTCCCCCGGTTCCTCGCGTGCCCCGGGGCGCAAACACCGAGTCGTAGCCCTTGCGCTTGATCTTCTGCCAGTTCAACTGGGGACGTCAATGGGGTCCCCGAAAACTGGTTGGTGTCCAAATATTCCGTTGAAAACCAAGCTGGTTTGTTGTCTTGTAAAATTCCAGCTCCTTTAGACATTAGCCAAAACAAGATTTCCCCATGAGGCACACCTGCTTCATCTCGCCACCACCCTTCTCAACTGTCCAGCACTTGCCGAGCGCCACCTCGCACAGAAGAAGCATGTTGCTGCCCTTGGTGTAGATGTCTTGCGCAGATTTCGAGGAGTCAGAGGCAAGGTAGATGCCTTGCCCGTACATCCCCTTGAAGTGATCCTCACTTGCAACGGAATCATGACACATGCACCCAAACTTGTACATTCACAAATTGAAAACCAAATAAGGTTGGTTCGCTTCGCAAGACGAGGGTCTGGCAACCGGAAGCCATCCCGCATGATGCCCTCCGCAGCCTCCCAGCTCGTGCCATGGAACTTCAGCTGATTGTTGGTGGGGTCGTGGAGCTCTACAGCCGATTCCAGGAAATCCTTCCTGCGCCCTGCCTGAAAGACTTTGTCGATGCGAGTCACCGACGGTACCATTGGTGATGGGGGACCACGTACTTCATGACCTGGGTTTGGCTCAGTACGCCTGGACCAGGCGCGCCGAACAAACAAAAACCACAAATCTTGTACCACAACAAGCCAAAGCCACTTTGTCGTAGACCTCATAATACTCCGCAGCAGCTTCGCCGGAGGGAAGCAGCTCAGTCCGGAACGCGTCTTGGATGTCACGACTGACCAACTCCTCCAATTCCTGCCGCAGCCGCACCTTTTCCAACCTTGGCCACAGGCAGCCGCGCTAACAGCTTTAGACTGGCTCAAATTGTCCACTCAAAGGGTCGGTTTCCCTGGTATGCAAAGTGCGACAACGCTGCCGCAGCTGTAACATCCCCAACAAAGCTCAGGCAATTTTCAAGGCTCGTCCGTTGCAAACGACCCCGCTGGACCAACTAAGCATACTGCGCCAAGCACCAGCGTGTCTTTTACCACAAGAAAAACGCAAATTGGCCCGGCTTCGACTGCCGCGCAGCCGGTACTGCTCCTCGGCCGCCTCCTGCGCCCGGCGCTGCTCCTCGCGACGCCGCTGCTGGCAGGGCTTGCAGCGGCTCGCGTCGAGGCACTTCTCGCCTCGCGAGAAGAACCAAACCGAAGCAAACCAAACCGCATCAGCCCGAAGCCCACGCCAACCCCAACCAAGCAAGCAAGCAAGCAAGCAAGCAAGCAAGCAAGCAAGCAAGCAAGCAAGCAATCAGCCCGCAGCAAACAACTCAAAGAAGGAAGGGTGTGCAACTTCAGCGGGCTAGGGTCTTGACTGCCAAGTCTGTTGGCACGTTTTCCCTACACTAACACTCACCCAAATCAAAATGTCATGTCAAGCCTGGATCGCTGGACTATCCAGACACACCGCGAAGGACACGCTGTAAGGGACCCTTGCAATGGTTGCATTGGGTTTGGCTCCCTGTCAAATTTCTCCCTTAAAAGGGCCCACTCCCGACTCCCGTACTTGCTAAGTGCAATTGAGTGGCCGCACTTGTTTGGACAGAGATGTCCACAGGGCAGCTCCCGCGCGCACGGGATTGAGCAGCTCGGCCAGCTGTCCCTGTCTTCAAGCTGCCAGCAAGGCACACTGAGGAGGTGCCCTTGCTCGCACGGACACTCACAAGGACAGTAGCACTTCACCTTGGCCCGAACTCCAATCTGGAACTCGCACTTGCTCGTATTTTGAGCTGCTTGGCCCCTTTGTTTCCTGGCAACCCAAGACCCACAAAGGATCAGACAAGCAGCATCCTCGACGGGCTGGCTGCAAAGGCGCATCAACTCGTGACCGTTTTCGCAGGTGAAGGGCACCTGTTTCTTGCAAGCAACCTCTTCTTCACAGCAACGGCGGCACAACTCATGGATCCCGGCAGCACCTCACTTGGGAAAAAAGACGACTTGCCAGAGGAAAAACTCATGAGTTGCCAGGACTAGTGTTCAGCAGCGCAGAGGTCCAAAGGTTGACTAACATTGGGCCGAGGCGCACATGTACTTCACCTCATACCTGCACTTCTCTGCTGCATGTGGATCATCGCCTCCATGACAAGGTCGGGGGCACATGTGGTTCGGCACGCCGCACCGCATGGCCTTCTGGCAGAAACGCCCACACACCGAGCCCTTCACAGGGACTTCCTCTGCAGCGCTGGCGCGGAGCGTGCAACTGCGATGGCGAGGGCAAATCAGCGGCAGGCTGCTCGACACCTGTGGGGTTCGTTTGGGCCACGCGAGGCGCAGGAGCGATTTTGACAACCCTTCACCTCGTCGCGTTGCTTCATTTCTTCCACCAGCGGAGACCAAGCTTTGGCATTCTGGAAGGATCGGCAATCTCCTGATCAGCAATGGGCGCGATCCAAAAATCGTCATTGCATTTTGCATTGCGGCTGGTGTCAAAGCCACGAAAGAGTAACACCCACCATTTGCGGGTAAGGAGCTTTGAAAGGGTTTACGCCTGCCTAGGCGCCAAGAGAGGATTGCCTAAAACTAACAAGGGGGCATGCTTTCAATTGCAACCAGAAGCCTTCCATTAGCGGGCACCCGCCAAAGTTTGAATAAGCCAATCCTAATCCTGTTTCAGCTCACGCCCATCTGCCGGCAGGCGTCCGACAAAGTACAGGCCCCGCCGGGCCCGGGACTGCGCCACGCAGCGGCGCTGCTTGCCCTGCTCGTTCGCCAAAAACCCTCTGAGCTCCCCTGTCCGCACTAAGGACACCACCACAAAGTCGTTTTCGCTCCCTTGGAACTTGTCAATGGTCGACACCTGCGCAAAGGTTCATTGACTTTGTCAAAGGTCAACACTGTTTTGCAGCGTCAATGAAGTTCGTTGACCTTTTCGTTTTAATGCGTTTGCATTTTGCATGAAGCCCCTCATGAAGAATCGAAGAATCCCCCTTTTCGAACTTCGAGGTGTTTAGCGCCTCCCTTCCACATTGGTCCGCCTCCAAGTTTTGACACGTGCCCACCTGGACCTTGTCGCTGTCGAAATCCGAGCTTTGCTGCAAAAGCCGCCGCAGGACCCGCACCTGCGCTGGTTCCGGCAAGGGACAAGCTTCCCCTTGGCCCCTTTGGCTGCAACCAAACCCAACCCCACCGAATCCAGGATTGGCGTTGACTCCGCAAGTTGCTGTGCCCGTGCGCCGAGCCTGGGCAATGTAGGAGGCGAGCACCGTGACCTGTGAAGCATCTGTGCCCTGGGACAAAAAGTAGCGCACCAACTGCGCTGCCATCTGCGCCTCGCCTAGCGATCCAAGAAATTCAATTGAGATCTTCCCCAGGCGTCTTGCAATCTGCGGATTCTAATGCTAACCCCTGAAGAGGGTGAAAATGTATGTTTTACAAAGATTGGAGCACGCCGTTTGCCATTTGTTCCAAGAGCTGGATGTTGTGAAAATTCGGTTGTCCAGCAGACAAACGTAACCCCACAATCTTCAGGATCCGTGGCGCACCACCCAAGCCCCCCCTCCTCCCCCTGTGCTTCCGCAAGATTGTTCTAGAAGCCTTGCCTTGTTTCCGGTTGTCACTGGGGGTCCCTTGACTTCCCACCTCTACGTCTTTCTTCTGACACAAATGGTGTTCCGTCTGATTGACCGGCACCTACGGGCTCTGCAATGAACAAGGCGCGTTGCGCATTTCGTAGGTCAATTCCAACACTCCGCGCCTTTGTTGGTGTAGCTTGTGCCCTCACTCTCCTGCGGATGCTCGTGGCTCCACCAGAAGACCGTCTTCTGCACGCAATCCACTTCGCTGAGCTTGTTGACCACCGCTAGGTTGCCTCTCAGCTCCGGGTAAATGTCCCCCAAAAGCTGACGGACACATGGCAGCATGCGGCCCTGGCAGGCTCCGGAACGCAAGCCGAAGCTTCCGTTTCAATCACTTCCGTGTCAACTTATTTTTCTTGGGCCTTCCTGAAGGTCCATGTTTTGCTTGGTCAGCCCATTGCTAAACCCTGCCTGGCAGCCCAAGGTGGCAAAAGGCAGGCCGGTCATCAACCACTGCATCATTGACACCGCGAAGTTGTGCCGGACCAGGTGATGGGAATTCACCTAGATGGATTTGGCCAGTCAGACTAAATTGGACATGTTGATTTATGTTGCAAAGATGGCAAGAAAAACATGGCCCGATCCAGAGCCAACTGCTTTGCATTTCGCACCTGCGGTGGCAGCTGGGCAGGGTCGCCAATCTGAATGACATGCTTCACACTCTTCCGGAAGCACGCCAGGATCTTTGGGATGGGGCACTCCGCGCTCTCCTCCACCATAACTACCTGGGCTATGAAGCCACCACGTAGAATGCGCGCAAAGGTTTGGACTTGCATCAAAACAAACGGGACGTCCCTGATTCACCCCTGCACCTCGGGGCCCCATGTCTCAATGAGATCGCTCTGAATCCCGTGCCCATCCAAAGTCATGCCCACGATGGAGTTTTGCTTTAAGAACTCAAGCTTGCAGACCTCGTCCAGGCGTGCCTCACTTGGGACTGCAGCTGCGGGCCGTGGGGCGAAACCTCAACCTACTCCCTTTTGAGCGGAACCCTGGGACTTGCGCACTGCCTTGCAGATGCAACATGGAAGCCCCCGAGACAGCTCCCTTCCCATGTTATCTCTGCCTCTTGATAACATTAAAGCCGGCGACTCCAACCCCGGAGCCTTCTCCTTCAGCAAGGCGTTGAAGTGCTGCTGGCACGCCTCGAAGCGCTCGCACACCTGCGACCGCTGCTCCCGCAGCAGGGCGCACACCAGGCGCGCACGAGCGCCTCCCTCCAGCTCCCATGGGTTGGAAGTCCGCAGGAGCAACGCTTCCGCCAGCGGCAGCCAAGCGAGCAGCTGCTCGCCCCCGAATCGGCCAGAGGTACCTCAATCAAAACCACAAGCCCTAAAAACCCTAGGTAAGAATATTTTTTCTTCATGGCACGCGCAAGGATCTACAATGGCTGATCTACGGTTGCGAATCTCCCTCCCCGCAATGCCATCCACCAAATCAGATTTCGGTGGTGGCTCCTCTTTCGCCACAGGCACTTTCGGCATCAAAGCGCACCATTCGATTGAGAAGCTCCTTGTCCGCCTTGACGCCATCACATTGCCGCCTCTCCGTTTCCTCCTCCTCCTTTTCCTCATCCTCATTCCGAACACCTGCACTACCCGATGCAGCCAGCTCAGCTGTGACCAACTCGGGCACCAACTCGGGCACCAACTCGGGCACTGCGGCCCGCAGCTTTTTGAAATCCTCACTGGGAAACCACTCGTCGATGACTTTCTGCGCCAGCTCCCTAAACACCTTCAGCGACTCCGCCACATCCTCGTCTGCAGCCTCCACCTTCTAACGCTGGCCAAGAATTGATACTGATCTGCCGGCTGCTCAGAACGATTAATACAACCTCCCGAAACAATGATCACAAATATCCAAAAACGTCATCACCAACGACACTACAAATTGGTGAAAGCGCAACAACCCCAAACTCAACCCTCCTCTTGCTCACTTAAAACATAACCCCCATCAATCCTGCAAAGGGGGTAGTGGACGAGTAAAAGCAAACAGTATTCAGGGTGGCAAAAGCCATTATTTGAACCATGATTTGAAGCAAACAAAAAAAATCAAGCCCACAACGCTAAGTCAAATGGAGAACCAAATAAGGAAAACTAAGTCAAATGGGTAACAAAATCAAGCAATACTGAATTAAATGGAAGAATCAAACCCGACAACACTAAATCTTAATCAACCAAAACAAACGGGAAAAATCAAATCCAATAACACCATGCCTGCTTGGAAATCCAATCAAGTAATACTAAGTCATATGGAAGCTCAAACCCAGCAAAAATAAATCTAAGCGAACATGCGAATTGGATAAGAAAATCAAACCCAGCAATATGCGGTTCAGCCCTCAGTACCTTGTTTCCCGAACCATCCCCCATCCCCACTGTACGTGACTAAGTACCCCATCCCCCAGCCCTCCAACACCAACAGCTTGGGCCACGGAAGATGTCTGCAGGAGGAAGCAAATCCGCCCCGAGTCCCTTGCTCTTAGTCCGTCATACCCAGCCCAGCTCATTCCAGCCACCTTGTCGGCTGACCTCAGCCACTCAACCTCAAGCTCCTGACAACCACCTCGCGCACTGGTATCATTTGCTCAAAGCAAATATTGTCCGTGCAGTTGGTTGTTCTTTTGAGCCTGGCCGGGGCGGCAGTGCCCAGTGTTCACGATTGAACAAATGCAAAATCCAACTAAGCAATGCCAAATATAATGGAAACTCTCGACAACACTCGCCCCGTTGTTGTCGCACTCCTTTGTCTCTCGCTGCCTAGCGAGATGCGTCCATTGCGCGGTGCATCCTCTTGGATCAGCAAACGCTGAAGACTCAAGCGGGCCCTGTTTCTCACCGGTCAAAGTTTCTTTTTGGCCTTGGCTCACTCTCCCTCAAGATGACGATGCCGTTTTGAAGGAAGTCGCGGAACTCCTCTCGCAGCTTGTTGTCAACCTTGGTCAGGCCGTCAGCTCTCATGAGCTGTGTAGGTACCCAATGATACTGCATTGGGGTCACTTCCTCCTGGGTGGCCAACCTTGCACTGTACGAACATCAGCAAACCAACTCTGCCACTTGTGGTCCGTGCTGCCTAACTCGCCGTTGGCCCCAAAAACCTGGTAGAGCACGTGCTCAGTGGTCCTTGTCGGTGTCGGTGCTTCCGGGGTGAGGCCGTAGATGTCGGGGTCAAGATGAGCCACGCAGACGATTCTGCATTTTGCTTGAAGAGCTCACTTCCGCGAGACTTGTCTCGATTAGGGCTCGACTCCTCATGATCCTCTTGCTCAGGATGCGGTCGCGAAGCACCTCCTGAGCTTCTTGGTAAGTGAGGGGTTGCACTGATCCCCGCTCAATCCAGCTCTGCGCCTCCTTCTCGATGGCGCCGAGGAAGGCTTGCTCTGCTTGGGCATCTTGAGGATCTCACGCCACGGCAACTCGCGGTCCAACTGCTTCATCTCCTGTCCAATGAAGATGTTGTAATTGCCTTTCTGCTTGCCCTCCATCGGAACCTGTCCAACAAAGATCTTGGTGTCTCATCGGTCCGATTTATCGTGTCGATATAACGCGAGGGCAGATGTACATGGCGATAATAGCACCATTGAATGAGAGGGTTGTCAACCTCCTTCGTGCCTTGCACGCAGATCGCGGCTAGGTCAATCTTCGGGAACTTGCGGTCAATGCGCACGTCAGTTCTGAAAAAGGTCATATAGTCGCAGTTGAATGCGAGAGCGATACATCGGAACATCATGTCACTCACGAACGCCATGCTTTTCTGATGGGTGATACCCCTGAACTGCTCTGCCTTGAGACCAAGGATGTCGCACGCGGTCCGGATCCGATACATCAGATACAACCCTTTCAGTTTCAGGAACCACTTAAACATCTCCTCATCTTTGAATACCCAATCGTCCCTCGCATTGATTGCGATGTAGGGACAATAAATCCCGCCACCCTTGCCCACGGGTTTGTTTGGGTCTGCCTCGTTTTTGACAAAGACTTTCCACATTTTGTAGACAATAACACCAAGGTAGCGAGAGAGATACGATGCCTCGTTGGGCTCGTCGACACAGATGGCTTTGACTTGCAGGAGGTACATTGCGTCTGCGTCCTCCTCAGCATTGTCCGGAAAGATTTCGTGTCATCTTCGTCGACATCAGTCCCGACATCAGAGGGCAGATACGATGTATCTTCGAACCGCTCCTCACTCGTCCCAGCGGTTTCTGGTCTATCCTCATCAGCGTCAATTCGTTCCCTCGCTTCACGCTGAGCCCTTCTCACGTCTTCCGTCATCTTGTTGGTGTCGGATACCTTGGGTTCCTCATCATCGACGTTGATGACGAACTTGCCGATGGAAATAAGCTCGCAGTTGCGTGCAGTGCAATAGCAAAATCCTCTCGGGACAACGGTAGCGCACGCAGGGCAAACCTGGTTGGATATGTTGGATGGATCATCCTCGCGGTAGACGATGAACCTGCTGAGTAAGTCCCTGATCTCGATCAACGAATCGTTCAGCACTTCGGGTTCATGAACGTTGACGCATGCCTTGACCACATTCTCCTCAGAATGTCAGCGTCTGCGGGGTCCTCATCCAAGAAGTTGTTGAGGTTCCCAAAAAAGTCGGCCGGGGTCACTCCCACAGCGTCTTTGAAGCCTGGACAGATCTCGTTCTCGACAATGCCGGAATAGATCCTTTTGACCTCTTTGACCGGTCCTCTCTTCACTGACTTGAAGTCTCTGAAGGGAATGACTTCGTGATTGGTACACGGACAAATTTCTTGTAGGCACATAGATGGCAATGAGGTCATCTCCTTCCTTGACGTCAGACAACGCAGTCTTGGTCGAGATACTCTCGTTGTCCCATGGCGCAAACACGGTCCAGTCTTCATACCGCCTGGCACGATGCCTCGCATGATGATCCCTTCGAGGGCCGACGGTTTTGTCACGTGGAATGCGCCGCCCAAGCGATCGAACATGTTCGGGAACAGTATGTTGCACAGTTCAGAGGACAAGCGACTCCGAAATCCGAATGTCCCGATGATGCTCGAATGCACCAGGTTGCCACCATCCGTTGCGCTCGCGACGAATCCAGTCGATGTTCTCTTTGGCCCATCCCGCAATTATCAGACCCTGCAGCGTCTCGTTGTCGATCTCCTGGTCGAATCTCGCAGCGGGAATCTGCAGCCTCGGCTTTCGTGCCTTCCGGTCCTCTGATCTGACACACTCGGCAATGGCCGGAATCGGTCGCCCTTCTTGTACCGGTTCTGCAGTGGTCGATGTTCACCCATCCCCCACCATTGCAAGGAATCGCGTTGCCCCTTTTCGTAGGATCCTCACCAGCGCTTTTGACATCTGGAACAGGCCATGGCTGCCAGTGGATCCATATGCCGTGTACTCTCTGTGCGGCCAGTAGAGGAAACTTGCGACTCGGTTTTGCCTGCGCATAACTTCCAACATGAGAATCCGCGCACGCCCTCGCATACTGCTTCATCACCGGGTTGAGGAATCACGGATGGGTCTGCTCCACCAAACAAATCGAGCGTGTTGTTGTAGTCCTTCATGCTTCCGTTAAGATTCGTGTGTAGGTCGAGGTGACCAACGTGGAGCTCCCCCTTGCCATGTCAGCCATTTGTGGGAGGTTCACAGCGTAGTTGTACTTCTCGAGCAAAAATTTGGTTCCTCCATGTCCGGCGGATGTGATCTCTCCCGAGGTTCGCTGGATGACGGTTTTGCTCCTTCTCCTTCAGGACCTTCCACATCGATATCTTCATCGGATGAAGGGTGTCCTTCTGGCAAAAACAACTGTTGCATCCTCACACGAGCCAAGTCAGATTCTTCTGCTCTTGCTATATATCTGCAGGTCCCCTCATGGGACTCTTTTCCGCACGTGATGCAATTATTGAGTTCACCAGCGCGCGTGCAAAGACTTTCAAACAGTTGCAATAGTTCTGCTCGTCTCGTGGCGACGTCCCCGGTCCTTCTCGCCTGTAAAACTGGCTTCTTTGAAATCAATGTACGGATGCGTGTACGTCAGTTCATCCATGATGTCCCTGACAGACTTGGTGGGCACTTCCATGTCTTTCACAGTACCATTTCTCTTCCTGTTGAGGCCCGTCATGTGAGTGGTTGAATTCTCCCGGACGAACTTCAGGAACGTGGCTTCAAGCATTGGTCGGTACTGGCCCCACTTTGGCAACTCATTTCCGAAGTAGGATATGACATCGAAGAGCCCAAGAACGGTCTCCAGCCCATCTCCCAACTTCTCCTCGTTGTCAGTGGAAAATATTCGATATGTATGCTCCCGCCCTAGGGAACCAACGCATCCACGATGCGTATACAGCGTGTCCGTAGTCGCGCAAAACACGGAATTTTGTCTTTCTCTCCCTTGTTCCATCTGGATGAGTGACGACGTACGACAGCTTGTCAACCCACAGTTGTTGCCCATCGCTACTGCGGAAGTAGTCAGCAAAGGCGTCTCGATCAAGCGTGATGCCTCCGATCTGCGACAGCTCCTTCGCGAACTTTTTGTCGAACAGTTTCACGATCAGGTGAGACACAAATGCGTCCATATCCCCGTCGAAATGGGATTCAAGCTCGTTCATGTCACCGAGAACCAGGCTGCATTCGGCAAAGAACCTCCTCATGATGTTAGGTCGCTCAGCTCCCTTGTGCATGGTATTTTGCTCAATCAGCCCGTTGGCGTGGCAGTTGACACACGACTTCGCATTGTACGAATGGCGATCGTGGATTGAGCTCCTTCCTCTAGGCACCGCTCGCATAGCACGTCTTCAATGTCTTCGAAGTGGTACCATTTTGATCGCATATCGTCGATGCCTTCCTTGCAAATCGCCTTCCCTTCCCTCCGCTGCTCGTCATGATACATCTTCTGCTTGTTGAAGTGAGCAGTGAAGTTTGGCTTGTAGTGATAGAGAACGTTGCCACCAGTTGCACCCTGGGGCACATTGAATTGCAGCGGGGGCGGAGGAGCGTGAGCCCAATCACCATGCGCAATCCTTCGTTGTGATGCAGATCACTTTTGGTGGTCCGGCGGAGGTTTTGTAAGAAGATCACACCCCGTGAAACTTGATGCTGACCGCCGGTTCCTGGGGCAGGGTCGAGTGAACGGCTCCATGGGTGTGCTCATGGTCAGGCTGAGGGTCCTCCAAGTCAGTCTCTTCGCCATGACGAAGTGCTCGGGAAAACCTTCCTCAAAGCCGTCCATGGCCAGCTACCAGAGCTCCGCTGCCAACTCGAACACTTGCCGTTGTTGTCGCACTCCTTTGTCTCTCGCTGGCGAGATGCGTCCATTGCGTGGAGATCTTCTTGGATCAGCAAATGCTGAAGATTCAAGCGGGCCCTGACTAGAGCCGATGCGCCAAGGTCAAGTGTTTGACCATGCATGTGTTTATCAGAAACAAACCCGGCAAGACTAAATCAAAGAGAAAATCCGATGAAGCAATAATAAATTCAATGAAACCTCAACATTGGCCCCGGCAATACAGCCCAATTCTAACCCACTTGGTTTGGTTTAGAGAGATCCGTTATGAAAGAGAACTAAATAATCAACAGGCAATCAAAGCAAGGGGGTACAAAGCCGTCCGCCCCAAGAGCATAAATTTGTAGCGCGCTCCTGCCCTTCCGACAAAACATCCAAACCAGCGTTCACGGGAGGCTTGCATGGCGAGGCAAACAAACTGGGTGTGATCTCGTGACGTGAGTTACTCAATGACTCAATGGAAAAGCTTTCCCGCCTGCCTCCAAAGCCTCAGCCATGGTATTTGTCAGGTGCTGCACACCTCGAAGCCTCTTCTTCTCCGCGTCCGACCACGGGTATCCTCAGAACCATGAGCCAAAACTGGGAAGCCACAAGGCCAAGAATGTCCCAAGCGAGCGTCCATCCAGAAAGGCTCCAAGTTGATCCGATCCAGCACATCTGCACAGCGTATCTGCATTGAAGTGATGGATCTGTGACAGCTCGCCTCAACTTGCTCTTCCAGAAAGCAATGCTCAATCGCCCTCCCTGCAAGTCTAGTTGTCATGGACTTTCTCTCTCTCTCCTCTCTCTCTCTCTCTCTCTCTCTCTCTCTCTCTCTCTCCTCTCTCTCTCTCTCTCTCTCTCTCTCTCTCTCTCTCTCTCTCTCTCTCTCTCTCTCTCTCTCTCTCTCTCTCTCTCTCTCTCTCTCTCTCTCTCTCTCTCTTCTAGGTTATTCCACAACTGCAGCAACAGCCATGCTAGAGCTGCCTGGCTGCGAATGCTAGAGTCCATCGCCGCTTGCGCTTCCTGCAGACGCTGCTCTACATCCTTGTACCTGGGTACACCGATCCCCCGACGAGCGCTTGATTTGCCAACAGCCTCCAAACCAAGTTAGTAATGCTGCCTGGTCCTTCATTGTCAAAGCTCCCTCGCGCACACTCAACTTGACCGGAAAGCTCCAGCTAAGCTCCGCACATGGTGAGAGTGCCGCCGCGCTCCATGCTCCGCATCATGGAAGACAGGTTCCGCAGGTTCAACGCCTCGTTGTCCGTCTGCCCACCCCCGATGCGGACAACTCCATGCTGCAGCAGTCCGCCCAGCATCTCCTAAGTCACGTACACCATGCGCTGAGCACTGGCCAAAATCTTGTTGAATCGGCAGAGGCCGGTGTCATGTCTGGAAGACTATTTTTTGAAGACAAAAACTTAATTGTTTTTTGGCCTTGGCCACTTCGCTGACCCTAGGTGGAAAGCCCAGATTGAAGAGGCACAGCTAAAATTGATTTCGGAGTTGCCTGCAGGCCCAAAACAGCTTCTTTGTTTTTTGTTGAGCCTGAAAGGAGCCTTTTCTTTTCCGATGCCTTGAAGATTGGATGGAATGACGGAAGCCCTTGAGAATGGAACCAGCATCAAAAGGGCTTCTACCATTCCCCCGCTGCCCCCGAGAAAAAAAGTGCCAAGATTATGGGGGCATGTTTTTGTCGGCGGTTAACGAATGACAAACGCCCACATAAGGCGCTCCCCCGCTGCAATGGAGTGACCATGAAGCGTGCGAAACAATGGGTTGAGGTATCTTGTTTGTTCTGCGACCTCCGCAAATGCGTTGTCCATTGGCAGCCGCCCGCTCGCTGCAAGCGAAGTAAACTTGTGGCTTGCACCCAAAAAGCGGCTTGATCTCACCAAATTTTCCTCGTTCAAGGATCATTCAAGATGTGGTTCTTGTAGGTCACCAGCAGGATTCTCGACCTACACAGCGGAGCTCTAAAAAGTTTGCAAAAAAAACAGCGATGGATGGATGGATGGATGGATGGATGGATGGATGGATTGATGGATGGATGGATGGATGGATGGCTGGGTGGATGGCTGGCTGGATGCATGTCTGGATGGATGGGGGCCTTACTCCTAGAGAGAGAGAGCTGAAAAATTCCGACTGGAGGCCATCTCAACAACACGTCCTAAGTGACGTGGCTCAAGAAGCCTGTCCAGCGCCAGCAGCAGCTCCACCAAGGTGCGGCCCACGAAGCTCTTGCCAGTTCCGGGAGGTCCTGCTTTGTGATCTATCACAAATACAAAACACGGTCAATTGTCAAACAACTGTTTTCCAAGAGTAGAGATAAACAAACAGCAAACCAGGGAAATGTACATCGATTTGCGAAGGAAAACAAACCCACAGACCAAGGAAGAGAGGCAGAAAGGCAGGCAATGCAACCTACCAGAAAAACATGACCAAACCAATAAGCACAGAAGCACAAACACATGGCAAATCCAGCAAAACCCGAACAAAATCACAGTCGCACTCGGCACAAAAATGCCCATCCCTCGAGCATGCCGACAAACCAGGCCCCACATCACATGAAACAAGAACGGCGGCTACCCCACACTGACTCACTAAAGTGAGCCAAGCACATCCCTGAAAGGGATATCCAGTACAGCAAATGACTCCCACACAATAAAGAAATCTGACATTCGAATAACCATGAATCAAGTCAGAATCAACATGAAGCACACACAGCAAGACAACCAAGCAGCCAAAAGGATCTTAAATCACATCAGCAGAAACAAAAACTGGCGTCCCAGGCCCCTTCACATCTGCAACTGTAGCTTCGTTGCACACCGCCGGTTGCAGATGCTCGCGATTGCGGAAAAACGGCGTCAGGGCTTTGTGGCCTGACATATCAACATCATCGCATGCTCCGGAACACAACCCTCCACAGGATCGAGATCGTTTGGATGCCACGACCATAGAGCCCGACCGCGCTTGGAGCGCCGCCAACTTGTTCAGGCGTAGAGGTAGTACTGGTCGAGGAGGATGATGGGCCAGCCTGGATCGGCTGGGAGGCTTTTGTTCGTGGCTTGAGACGAGCCAACGATCCCCGATGCATCTGTGGCAGTCGCAGATTCTTCGTTGAGATTCTTCATCCGATCCAACCAGGCACATGGGACGAATTGACGTGTCATCGATCCGCCGCTTGCATTTTAAGGTATCACTGCATGATCAAGTGAAGCCAAAGTCCAGGGTAGAAGATGTTTTCCATTGCTGTCCATGATCAGGACGCCACTCAATCCGCAGGGCGATCGACATGCTCACACGTTACCAGAAATTACTCGCTTTGAGCAAGGACTCAACATGACCAAGTCCACCATGTCAACAGTGCAACTGTTACGCATCAGCTCAAAGCCGTGCGCCGTGCTTCAGGGTTCTGAACCCTTCCCGGCCACACGGTCGAAGAATCCAGCCAGACGGATGCCCTCCAACTGCATGTCAGCAATGCTGATGTCCCGCGCGGGGTTGGGGCGGGTTGCCCAAATTGGACGGCGAGCAACGCATAAAACGCGCGGTCCGACTTCGTCTGGTCACGCGACGAGGGCGTTGGCATAGTGACTGTGTTGGTCACCGGCGAGGATGTCGGTGGTGACAATACAGGACGCCGGCTCGCAAATGGTCTTGGTAGCAGAGGAGCACAGGTTGACAATGGTCACGGCAGCGGAGGTGGAATCATGTTGAAAGGTACCTTGAACGAGTAGGCGGGGTTGTTGGCATACTCCGTCATGTTCTGGTCATAGGTGAGATCACGTCCGGACTCACGATGAGGGCGGCGAAGCGGAGTGGTAAATGGTCGGCGGCCGAGATTGTTCACGACTGTCACATCGAGGCATGTTGATTGTCACGTCCGAGCAGAAGCTTGCGAGCACCACGAATGCAAGCAAGGAAACAAGCACATCCACTCATCCATAAATCAAATCAAGCCGGAACAGCTCAGCACAAATCACCGCAGAAAGGTTGAAGATGTACATGATGTAGTAGCTCGATTTGGAGCTACACTGAGGTTGACATTGACATTAAAACTGAAGTCACACTAAAGATCACACGCCGATATCGAGTTGCATTCAACTGACTGAGGTCACGGAAACGTCAGTCAATGGGTACACCTGACACACGTAAATGGCTCGTAAACGGAGTAGAACTCTGACATTCGAGTAACCATGAATCGAGTCAACAGGTTCGAGTGGCGAGACAGGCGGCTTCTCTCCAGACTCAAAAACGTTACCAGAATCAACATAAGGCACACACAGCAAGACACCCAAGCAGCCACAAAGGGCAATCACGTCAGCAGGTACAGGAACTGGCGTTCGCATCTGCATCCGTAGCTTCGTTGCACGTGGCATGTTGCAGACGCCGTGTGTCCCTGCATGCTGATTAAAGAAAAACGGTGTCGGGGTTGAACTGATGTTCAGCACAGACACACGCACACGCGCACACGCGCACACACACACACACACACACACAAACACACAAACACACCAACACACAAACACACAACCACACAACCACACAAACACACAAACACACAAACACACAAACACACAAACACACAAACGCGCAAACACGCAAACACGCAAACACGCAAACACGCAAACACACACAAACACGCACAAACACGCACAAACACACACACACACACAAACACACAAACACACACAAACACACACAAACACACACACACACACACACCCACAAACACACACAAACAAACACAAACAAACACACACACACACACACACACACACACACACACACACACACACACACACACACACACACACACACACACACACACACACACACACACACACACACACACACACACACACACACACACACACACACACACACACACACACACACACACACACACACACACACACACACACACACACACACACACACACACACACACACACACACACACACACACACACACACACACACACACACACACACACACACACACACACACACACACACACACACACACACACACACACACACACACACACACACACACACACACACACACACACACACACACACACACACACACACACACACACACACACACACACACACACACACACACACACACACACACACACACACACACACACACACACACACACACACACACACACACACACACGCGCTGAGCGAGATGTAACAAGTCCCAGCCGAACCCTTTTCTGACCACGGATTGGAAATGCCCCAGATAGATCCAAATACCCAACGCGCTTCGCACGTTCACCACCGCTTGCCTTGAATCAACGACACGCGATTCCGCAAGGCGTGATCCACGGCCGCCATCTGTGTGCCGTCCAGGACACAGGCGCCACGGCACAATTGACCCCCTCGGCAGTTGATCAACAAGTCTTCCAGCGTATCGATCTCTGGCACCTGCAGCAATGCCCCTGCCTTTGTTGCTGGCACCCAAGGCCACTCCTCACCCCAGGGGCTGGCCATCTGTGGCCTGGAGCAGTGCACTAGCTCTTCCTCAAAGGGGACAGACTCCATGCCCTGCAGCACTCTCAGCACCGGCATGTGGGCCCGGTAGTACACGGGCGACTCCAGGGCGATCATGCTGCCAGCAGACTGCATGGAGAGGATTCCGGAGGAGGAGTCGCCACACAACTCCACAACCAGGTCCGAGTTTGGGGAGTCTACAATGGTGGCAAAGAGGACCTGGCACCCGCCGGTTGAGTCAACCCGATGATCTTTTCATTTCCACATCCAGCCCGCTGGCCCGCCTTCTTGAAGGACTCGTCCAGCGAGAAACACATCAGGCTGCCATACATCAGTTGAAGCTTCTTCCTGTCGAAACGACGGTGAATGTTTGGAACGAAAGGGGCCCTGGCCTGCTCTTGCCCGCAACCTGCAGGGAAAGCACCGCCAGCAGTCCACCCGTGCGCGCTGTGCCCACCGCCACTCCCTTCAGCCGCACTTGGAACACCGGCAGGCCCACGCTGCCTGGCAACTTGGGGCAAGACGCACGTGTGGCAAACCCGCGAGGTACTTGGAGTTTGCGGTGACTGTTGGGCACCTGAAAAGTTGACAATCCGCGGGCGCAACTGCCCCGCCTGCCCGGAGATCTTTCACTGCCTTGCGCAGAGGGAAGAAGCAGTCCTCCCGCTCAAGTGAGAAGATTGTACCCAGCAGGTCATCCAAGCTGTCGTAGCCTCCTGAATGCAAAAAAACGCAGCCCACTGACCCACCTGAAATGTCCTGCATGATTCTTAAGGTCAAAGCAATCCCCTAAAAACAGGTCCCATGTTCAATACGCCAGCAGCTCCTTCTTTCCGCGCGCTGGCCAGCCCTGGCGTATCCAAGCAGTCCAGACGGCCAGTCAGCTCTTGGGGCGACGGCAGCAATGGCAGCTGCTGCCAGCTCAAGTTCGCTGTGTCGTCGCCAGCACACGCGACCGACGCCACCTTGACTAACAATAGGTTCGAGGATTCTGATTATTTTGGCTGGGACCCGTTCATGAGAACCCGGCTTACACTCCCCTGGGCCCAAAATGACCCCTTGGACGCTTGAATGAACCATGCAGTGAGGTTTTTGCGTTGGCCTTGGCTCTTTCTCCAACTTCACGGTGAACTAGCGGCCAGCCTGAAGCAGGTCCAGGGCCAAGTCCAAGGACGCCGACAAATCGCTTCTAGCCGCCAGCCTGCGTCGGGAGCACGCTGAGGCGCCAGGCGCCTCTTATTCACAGAATACATGTCCTTCCACGATGCGAGTCCAAGCTGCATCTGGTTGTTCATGGAAAGCACTTGCTGAAAGTCAAGATATCAACTGTCTAGCCATCGATCAAGCTTCGAAGAACTTTTCGGCAGGATGGACAACGGGGGCGGGCTTGACTCTTTAGGCAGGCAACAACACCAAAGTGCCCCTAGTTGTCAAAATACAATCGACAGGCGTTGCAGGAGTTGTCGTTGACGTCTGATCCCTGCTTTAGAGGACCTTTGCCAAAAGGCTCAATGAGTCCCGTTGCAAAAAAGATGGGGGTTAAAAAGAAAAGTCTCGCGATTCAGCGGCTCAGACAAGCGCTGCATGCCTCCGAAACCGGGGCAGCAGCCGCGCCAAACGAGCAGGCTGGACCTTTGCAATGATCCGCAGGAGTGGAAAGAACTGGGTCGCATCCTCCAAAGCCCCGGGCGTCGCGCGTCGACGCTTCTCTGACGGAATCTGTTTTGACTTGTCCATCTTGCCCTGAGATCAGTTCAACTCTGCTCTCTGCGTGAAGACAACAAGCAAATGCGTACAACAAAGAATTGGAACATGAACAACCCAGGAGAAGGACCCCCTAGGAAGCAGGAAGGAGGAGGAGGGAGGAGTAGGAGGGCGCTGCGTCCTCCAGCTTGCTCACCAGCTCCGTGGTGTCATCCACCAGCCCGGGCAGGGCACTTTGCAGACTCCCGCTGCAGGCTTCAACCACCTTCAGCAGCAGCTCCCCGGCAGTCGCGTGGAGCTCCGGGGTTCTTTGCATCAACTGCCAAAATGGAGGGGAGCTGGTCAAAGCAAGCAGCGTTGCCTGGAGCGCAAGCCAGCCGAGACGAGACATCAAATAGAAAAATGACAAACGCCGGTCATCACTTCTTTCCAGGAATCCTCTTGGGGCGCGGTTCGGCATCTTCACCCGTCTCTTTGAAGCACGTGGGTTGCAAGACAACACCTCCCAACTCTTCCCAGCACAGCCTTTGCCGCGCCAATCAAAAAAGTTGCTAAGCAGGTTAAAGCTCGGCTAAGTAAAGCAAGCAGATACAACCCAGGCCGATCATCCAAAAATACCCACAAGACTAAGCACACTCCAGAACTGGCCGCAAACTCATCGCCGAAGAAGAGGACAAACAAGAAAAGCGAAAACTGAAAAAATGAAAAATAGATTGAAAAGAGAAAAGGGGGCGCAGGGAGAGAAGGGGAGGCAAGGGAAGGAAGTGAGGGAGTGCCATCACAGCCGGCCTGGTCTTCTAGGTCCAACTTTGCCACAAAGTTGTGGAGGTCTTCTGGCAACCGTGGCCTGAGGGAGACCACGCGCACCTTGCTGGCTTTTGGTTTTGCCGGGTCCCTCTCATCCAAATCCACGTCCACCTCGAATGCCGAAAGCCATGCTCCCGACATACTTTCCATAGAAACATTGTCCTATCAAACGTGAACTCAATCCAAACTGGCCTCAAAAAATCGCTGAAAGCAATCAAACCTAATTACCTTGCAGGTGCAAAGCAACTTGACGAAAAGGGATCTTGCCTGATCTCCGGGCTGCAGCGGCAGGCCAGCGGCCTTGACGACCCGAGAGAAATGGAAAAAGATGTCGCTGCCCTCAGACCGCTTGATGAAGCCGAAGTCTTTGTGGACCTGGACCTGGACATGAGACTGCACCCAGGGACCTGTCGGGCCCTTGCTACGAGAATAAATCAAAGAACTTACAAACACAAGCCATGCAGCCATAGTGCAGCCAAGTTGCACTTAACACTTCTGACTGGTTTAATCTTGCTGTCCTGCGAGTTTGTGCAGCCAAGGAGGACTTGCCCAGCCAGGGTTAGCCAAGCCAGCGGGTGAGTTTTCATGAGGTTTAAAAGATTGGTGCTCTCTTCGCTAAATGGAAAACAAGGCCAACCGTGGTTTTGGCCAGGAGCGCTTTTTATGCGAGTCGCCCACAAAAGTACATTCATTTGCAGCCCAACACGCCTCATCTTGACAGGTCTTCTTGACTCGCCTTTGGCATTCCCTTCCTCGTTCTGTCGGCTCCATGAATGCTCCGTGTCAGCGCATCCCCCAGGCGTTCGCTGCACCCACTGGGGACTTTGCTTGCCCTTCGCCACACTCTTGCCTCCGCCTTTGGCACTTTTCCCAGCGCCCTTGCCTTGCTTTTGCTGCGGGCAAACTCTGGCCAAAATTTCCGCCGTAAGCACGCTAACAGCTTTGTCTCCTACTACCGCCGCCAAGTCTTTGGCATTCAGCTTCACAGCCCCCAGCGCCGGGTCAAAAATGCGCACATTGGCGAATTTCAGCAGAGCAACATCTCGTTTTTGCCAGTGCGCGTTCACATTCACGTTGTTTTGCACGTTACCAATGTCACGGCCACAGCCCTTGCAATGAAGTTTGCCAACTTTGAACCAGAACTTACGCGAGTCCGGGTGGGATGTTCGGCTGCAATGCAAATCCTCCACTTCTGCGACCAATCCACGGTCAATGGACGCATGCTGCACAAACTGCACATGCTGTATCGTAACGACGGCCGCCTCACAATGCGAGCATTGCACGGACATGGTAGCAAGTGTGTCCAAAATGGCACAGCTGCGGCAGGCAACAACAACCTAGATTCGGCCTGCCCAGGGCATACTCCAAAACATGTGGTTCGGTGTCAAGAAAAGGGTCAAAAACGGATCACCACTTTCTCAAACTCTCCATGTTGCTGTTGAATTTCCACCACCTTCTCCTAAAGCACGCGTCAAAGCTGCATCTGAAAATGTTTGTTGACTGGAAAACCAGCCACGCGAGAAAGAAAAACAACTCGTAGACAACTTGCAAAATGCGGGAATGGCCAGAACTCAAACACGCAAGTTGCACGCAACATTCAAACTTCCATTGAAACGTGCGGGTCGTGGCCGTGACGTTGCCATCTTAAGATCGGTCACTTGCACCACGCCAAAGCCAAGTGCGCAACATGGCTCGCCTGAACCCAGACACACTCTCCAAGCACACAACGCCCATCATAATGCCACTTGTTATTTTGCATACAGGAAAACTGGTTTTTACGCCCAAGGTTTTGGGGGCTGTTGGATTTTGAACGGCTTATGCCAAGAACCTGCGCTCTGTTCAAATGAGAAAAAAAAGATATACCAATGCAACTATAGATTCAAGGGTTACCGGTTTGGGGCCCAAAACGAAACAACAAACCGTCCAAGCGCGCTGCTCGCACATTTTCACGCTTGAACAGCCACACTGCGGATGCAACGGATATAAAACCCCATATTGACCGATCTAATTCTTCACCCCCCTCTGCGTGTTAAAGGGGCCTTTCACAAAGCAGCCAAACAGTAACACAACAGAGGGAGAAGGTCAGGGGAACCATTGCTCACATGCAAACCATGACGGTTGCGCTTTTAGCGCCACCGCCAAGATGAATAGCTTCCGCTGCTGTCACCCCATCCGCTCCATTCGGACCAATTCTGCCAGCTGCCACGGCTCCAACGCTCACCCTCGCGGGCGGCGGGAGCACTCGTCTCAGCATAGCGGGCTGCATTGCGAGCAAGTGCTTGCTGCTCTCGTTCCTCGAAAATTCAATCGAGTTACGTGCATACCGCTCAGTTTGGCTGAAAATCCAGTCCATCTCGTTGCGGAGGTCGTCCAACGTGTTGCCTCACAATTGAATGATCCCGTTCCAACAACCAATGCTGCGGGGCCTATTCTGCTCCATCACCACGTTGACGAAAGCTCTCGGGCTGTAAGGCATCCATTGGAACATCACGATCCAGCGAGAGGACAACGCCTGTTGCAGCTCGTTGGGCAGGAACTCCAAATCTGTCTTCATATACGCGAGCCTTGCGATTCGCGACTCCGAGGTTGAACCAAGCCCAACTCCCAGCCCTGGGCCTGCGACTGCTTTGGAGCAGCTAAGACGAGATTTGCGCTCAGCTCCATGCGGAGCATGTCCGCGTAGCGGTCAAGCAGAGTGGTAGCCATTCTTCAGGACGGACTTGAGCTTCTTCCGGGACTCCTGAATAACAGCACTGTCCGGGGAGTTCAAGCCACGAATGATGCTGTTACGATCCTCCTCGCGAAGGTCGAATGTTCCCACAGATGCAAGGACCTGAGATGCGACGTGGGTGCTGAGGCCCATCTTTTTCAACAGGTTGGAACGCTGCATGATGTAGTTTTTCTGTTGCTCTTTCAACAGGCGTGGATTGAGGGGAGACAACTGCCCACATGATGAGCAGTGCACCTGCCCCTCGAAGACACTGTTGTTGCAAACAGGGCACGTGGCGACATTCAACTCAACGTTCTCCATTGGATTGAAAGTCTTCTGCCTCTTCGCTTCCCCTTGCGGGGCGCGAGGAGAGGCCACATTTGTGCGCGTCGTAGCAATACGTTCCAGCGCCGTTGAGCGATCATCAACCACAGCTTGATCGCGCTTCATTTTGTGGGGTTCATCTTCATTTGCCTCAGCTGGTGCACCTGCATCCGATTGCTAGGTACGTGAACCCGGGGACTGACCTCGGGCGCTGGTCCGGCTGGAATGTTTGCAGCAATCCTCCAACTGTGCTTTATCACCGCACTGATAAGCGGAATTTCGCTAATATCATGCGGAACGGACTATTGCCAGGCGGCGGAGATCAGCGTGAAACAGGCCGGCCCCGCGTCTTCTTCGCCGACGTCCCCAGCACAAGCGAACACTACGTGTCGGGCGTACGCGCAAACAAACCCTTGGAGATAGCCATTCGTGCAGGGCTTTGCTTTTTCAAGACGGAGAGCGATGGCGTCCTCACGCGCGACAAGGTGCCCAATTACACGATTATTTCGGTATTGGACGCTACAAATGGCGATGTTTGGTACACTCGCTCACTCCTTCGCGATGCCAGAGTTGTCGATCTGGAGCCAGTCCTCATGGCCTTGAGAGGCCTTCAGCTTGAAAAGCCAATGAGAACATGGGACGTCTCCGCGCCGGGCAATGAAGGCCAATGAACCTCTGCTTCTTGTCCAACTTGAAGATATCCATGATGTTCTGTGGAATGGGATGTCGCAGCTCCTTGCGAAGCGCAAGTCCCAAGTCTTCGAGGTCCATGTAGCCGTCCTCATCCATCACACCCGCATCCTTCTGTTCCACGACCACGAAGGATCTTGGAGATGCATGTCAGGGAACGGTGGTATTCATCACTGATTCTCCTGACGGAAGGGTCGTAATCGAAAGAGGGCTGCTTGATGATGTCGAGTCTCTTGGGGCCCTCGCCGTAGTCGACACACTTCACGCCATCATGAACGCTATACACCCAGCAGTCATAATGGCCCCCAGTCACGCTCCTCCCGTAGGAGTCGAGTGGTACCGGCCTGCTCACCTCCTCGCCCCTCTTTGCCACCGCAGCCGCCTTTGCACCGGCTTGCGCCGGGCGAACACTTTCGGAAACATCTGCACCGGAAGGCTCACCTGAAGTTGCCTCCTCGGCTGGATTGACGGGGGCGAAATCGAGAGGCTGCCGGACTTCCACTTCTTCACGGGTGAAAGGGAGCCCGATCATCTCTGACAGAGAAACACCGCACTTCGTTAGCGTCTCCTTGCAGTACGCGAGAACCTCAACGTTGACTGTGCAATCTTCTTAGTAACGCAGCTCGAGCACATCGATCGAACGCACGGTACAGTTGTGCGAACGTATCAGCTCGGCTACGCTGCCCATTGCGGGGCGCAAGATGGAAAGCATATACAACATGCGATGGGTTCCGCGCATGAACTGGACGGTCTTTGTGATGTTGTCGTCACTGAAGCACATATGAGTCCCAAATCATAGAGAAGCCGTAGAGATGGCTTTTCGCGCCGGTCATGACACCAAGGCACGCGCAGCCCTTGCGGGCCGCGAAATCCCTGGTCCAGGCCAGGCGCCTCTTGGTGTCTGATGGTCGAACGGGTAGGTGCCTCGTCGATAAGGGCGGCCATGCGCTTGCAAAGCTGCTGCAGGCCTTTACCCCAAAGCATTTCTGCCCTCCATGCACCGACACGCGCCGGGCGAGAAGCATCCAAACGTTCTGCAAAATCATATTTGCGGAGCTTCTTCTTCTTGCCCGAAACCATTGACAGTCCTGAGTCAGCGACAGTCAAATAAATAAGGATCGCGATCTGGTACACGAGGAGCCTGCACAACCTTCAAGTAAGGTTCGCTAATAGTTAACAGGGGTGTAAGCAACTGCAAATAATGCGGTTGGTCCTGCACCCATGTATGGATAAGCGACTGCGCAGAGGTCGTCTCCAGGAGGCCCTTGACCGTAGCGGCGAGGTTAGCGTCGTACTTGCCGTTCGTGCATACCGATGCGGTAGCAACATTCTCCATCCACCGCCTCCATGCCGGATCGCAATCCCTCGCGGGATGCGCCATAGCCGTTGGGCCGCTCATTGCGAAAACGATGCAGCACAATTACTT